GTCCAGCCCTGCCGCTGCCCGGGCTCGAAACCACGGGAAGGGGCCCGCAGGCGCTCGAAAAAAAAGCAAATTGGGTCCTTAAAAGGGGAGTTTGCTTTCCGTTAATACGTCGTGAAATAAAACCGAGCTCGAGCGTTGTCCTTTTCACCCCCTCCTCCTCCTCCTGCGCCCCGAGCGAATATAAAAGAAATAACCGCAGTTTAATTTTCAAAACCAGGGTGGGGTTTTTTTGGGGGGTACTTCACCGGGAAGTCCCTGAACGCCCCTCCTGCATCAGCAAGGCACCGATATCGGACTGCTCCCCGCGCATCCCCCAGGGAACACGGCGTCCCGCAGACTCAGCCCCAAATCTTGCGCAAAACGCCGGCAAGATCGGACCCCCGGCGCGGGCCAGACAGGTCCCGGGGGGACCTTCCCCACGGCAGAACGGGCCACGTTTTTATTTCTGTTGTCGCAAACGCCTCCTCTTCGTCTTATTTACAAACCAACACGCAAAACGGCACCTGCGGGGATGTCTCCCCTACCAGTGCTACACGTTATTCACTCCTGCGACGACGGGCGGCAGAGCCAGACGTATCCCACCGCACAAACCCACTCGCTACCCCAAAACTCCTCCCGAAAAAGAAGGGGGCAGCACAGGGGTTCAGCTCTTTGGCAGAAGCCCCTCTCCCAGCACCTGCCCGGGAGGAACCAGAGGGGTTTTGCTTCCGATTTCGCCACGAATCCCTCATCTCCCCGCGCCGGGCGCGCTTTGCCACGCTGCCTCCCCCCACTTCCTGACCTACGCCCGGCGGCGAGACCCCTCGACGGCGCGGCGTGAGACCCTCGACGGCGCTTATTTACCTGCTGGAACCTGTCCAGTATTTGCTTCTGCTGAGGAGCGGGGTTGGGGATGGCCGGGAGGGTTTGGAATTGGTTGGGGACCATCGGAAAGTTCCTCTGCTGCTCCGGGGTTAGGTGGAGAGCGTGGGTGGGAGTTGGGGGTTTGATCTGAGCCTGGGTTGGGAACTGCAGTTGGAAATGGGGGGAATGGGCGTGCTGAACCTCCGCCGGAGCCGGGAGTTGGACCTGGAGCTGCGCCGGCGGCGGCGGGGGCGGCGGGGCAGTTTCTGCCTGCGCCGGCGGGGGCTGGAAGGGCGGCTGGG